TAGGGCTGAGGAGCCTTCTGCTAAAGATGTCCGAGAGGGCTGAGTACAGAACTGGGATAATCCCAGAGACTGAGTATTTCATGAACAGCTAGTTGCATCGAGAGTATTGGCTATTTCAAGAAAATAAGTGGTAGCTTCAAAGCAATACAAATGAAGTCCAGGAAGATGAGACTATGGTGTTCACTGTTAATTCAAGCTAGAAAGACTTACTGTTTTTAAATCGTAATAATTTTAAGCTGCAAGTAGAAAAAGGAAGATAAGATGGATGTCTAGAGGATAAGTCATTCAGTGAAACTGGATCTTCTTCTGCTTTTTGACTTCATTAGGGTACTCTTGTGTTTTTCTGTAGTTGTTGCAAATTGTGATCTGGCTCCAGAAAATAGGACTGCTAGAAATTAGTAGTAGCTGCAGAAATTAAATGTTGTGATCTCTAATCTTAAGAGGTTTGTGTTCTGATGGACGTCTTCCAGAGCAATGTATATGCCGTCTGTTTGTTGCATAATACTGGATATATAAGGCCCTTAAAATACTACACTTAAATCTGTTACATCAGTATCCTGTCTTCTTTCCCTGGGTTATAATGGGCTAGGACACCTGCTTGGCTTAAGTGCCAGGGAAATGCTTAATATGTCTTCACTTAGTGAGTTCCTCCAAGTGTCTCTGCGCCAGAATTGCTTTACAGCAATGGGAATGTGGCTGGGAGGAGGCTTGCAAAGAGCTGTCAGGGAAATGAAGCCCCTGAATCTCACGGAAGGGCGAGAGGGTTCTCAACTGAAAACAGGCATCACTTCTTAGGTTTCAGCACAGTCACCCCCAGTTTGTGCATGTAATTTCTCAGCAGTATTTGAAATAGCATTTGCTCTACCTTTTGGTTGTTTCTAATAGATTTCTTCTTAGACTGAATTGCTGCAGACTGGAGGGAGATGCCAGTTCTGATATAATCTCTGTTAAGGTGCATGGATATTTGAGAGAGCGAATGAGAAACTCAGGGGATCTTCTGCAATTGAGAGGTGTTTGAAGAGTGAACTGAAGATGAGGCAGATACCCATAGTGCTTGTTTTTTATTAACTGTATTGAAGGGAAATGAAGAGCTTAATTGTAAGCCTCTGACCGTTTTTGAGAGATTACATAGAACAATCTGATTTGCAGTCATGGAAGGCAAGTTGCAGCTACTAATGCTTTTTTTTCCTTTTCAGGCAACCATTGGAATCGATTTCCTGTCAAAAACCATGTATCTCGAGGACCGCACGGTAAGCGAGGCCTCGGTGCCGTGGGTAGCGTGGCCGGAGCGCCCGGCTGTGCCCCAGCGGCTGCTCAAGTCCCCCAGCAGCCTCAGAGGGGTAGCCCTTGAGACACCAGGCTGCTCACTTAGTTCTTGCTCCTTGAATGTTTTTCTTGTGTTTGAGTTAAGCCATTGAACCAATCCCCTGCTTTTTCCTCGTACTTAGTAATTTTTGCTACTTCAAGAATGTAGTCAAAACCCTTCATGCAAAATTGGAGCAAGGTAATGTCCGTGTTACCGGGGAGCGGGCTGCTATGTGCTCCATAGGTGTAGTTTGCTCATAGGATTTGCAGCTCTGCCTCTGGAATTGTCAACATAAGTGGACATGAACAGGCTCAAGGTAGTTCTGAGTTCTGAAATCATTCAAGTTTACTAGTGGTGGCAGAGTTCCTCCTTGTAAAAGGATTCAATAACTTAATTCTGGCTGACTGTTAATAAAGCAGTTTTAGATTTTTAGCTTTTGTGAGATTCCTCTTTGCATAGAAACACCGCTCGCATCCCTTTCCTCTGTCTTTGAGTATTTGCCTTTTCATTAGTTCATTTTCAGTAGTAATTGCCTCTTTGCTAGTTTTAGTGTTGGCTGAGGATGAACCTGTTTGGGGGTCAGAGGTGTGATACAAGTTCCTTGTGTTGCTTCAGAAGAAGTCTCAGCCCAGTGAGTATGGTGGGTTTCCCCATTGCTTCTCAGCCACCCTACAGTGATTCACTGTTAGAAAAGACCTTGCTTAATCTTTGAGTGGAAGAAACTACTTTGATAACATTTTCCAACTGTGCTAACAGTAGTAGAAGGAGGAAAAAAAAAAAAAAAAGGAAAACATCTTGGGAATGTGGGAATGCTGCTTGACACCTGTGAAGGCAAGTTGGAATACCTGTATGTTCTTTGCAATAGTCCTTAATTCTCAAGGGTAGTCTGGACCTCTTGTGGTTGTGTAACTCATCCACTGACCTGCTGTCCAGAAAATACCCTTCTTTCAAATGTCTGCGATGCTACTGGCCCATAAAGAGCCTTTTAAATAACAGAGGTCCTGAATATAGATGAAGGAAGAACACCAGCAGAGAAACTAAGAAAATTCAGGCACTAAAGTAATTTTTCAGATATGGTTAGTGCTGTTATCTTACAGTAGGCTTTGACTGTTATGCTTGAAATGAAGAATAAACCTGTAACTGCAGTATATGCCTGGGCACAACTGATGTATGTGTCTCTCAAAAATACACCTATGCCAGATCACTTAGCTCTCAATATGTCTCAAGTAGCCCATATTAGGCAGCAGAAGCAATGAAAACATGTGGAGTTGAGCTCTTCAAAATGAGCTCTGGGTAGACGCCCATGCACTGCTATTGCAAGTGTGTCAGCTACAGCATTTGTGCTGGTATAGTGGAAGCTCTGGCACTGGGGGAGTTGGTGCCGCGAGAAGCCCCATCCTCCCTCCGGGCTGTCAGGCTGACAGTTCTGTTACAGCTACAGCCTCACTTGTGAAAGGCTGGATAGTGCTCTCCTGTGTGTGGGGAGGTACCTCCTTAGACCTGTTGGGCTTAAGCACGAGATAAACCTATCTAGAGGATTTCTGCTGTCCTGGCTTGTACCTCACTATTATGTTTCAGCACTTCACATCAGCCTTTCCAGTGGATTAATTAGTCGCTGAGTGATCTAGTCCTTACAATTAGGTGTGATCACAGTCTGCTTGTATAATCATTGTAGCCAGAATCCCGACATGGCAGGATGCACTGAGGTAGGTATCCTTGTTTTCATCAGTGGATGGTGCTAGAAGCTGTGTTAGGAATATCTCGCTCCCCTTTCGAAAAGGGGAAGCTTGTTTGTGTGTGCACAAGCTGGATGAATGGGCCTGTGGAGGGAGGGAGGTTTCTCTGACCTGTTAGGCCGAGACTACCACCAGGATGGGGCTAGAAGTATCGTTGGCTCTTTTCATACTTTTATTCCATTTTAACTTTCCTTTTGTTGGGTTATTTTTGCCTTGCATTTTTTTTCTTTTTATTTCACTTGAGT